CGTTGAAAAGACGTCTTTCGAAGTGCAGCACGCCGTTTATGACCCCAGTCTGTGCTGTTGGGCGTTTTCTGTGACGTGTAGAGCAAGACACTGTCGTGGATTTGTCCAGGGTTTTTTTCAGCTTTTGCTCTGTCCCGAATGCTGCTTTCCTTGCTGCTTCGTAATTTCATAAACACGATAAAGTGGTTGGACAACCCCCACCCCCACCTCTTTCCACACTTTAAAAAAATATGTTTGCCGATGCCAATCATACGACTTCTGGCAGTACCATCTCAGTGAGTTCGGGAGCTGTGCATATGGAGGGTGGCATGAGATTTGTTAATGCATGCAGTCTGCTTCTCCTATGTCTTTTTTTATTTTTGATCTTTCTATTTCTTTTTATAATTGTCGCTCTTGTCTGAATATGTTCTTGGCGAAATAAAGTGGGCTATTGTGCTGGGCCGCCGAATACTGCTTCTACCGTGCGCCTCTGTACGAAGAAGTTTGTTCAAAACCCGGCGTCATGTAAATTACAAACTTTGGCCTCGGTATACTTATTAGTGTGAAAGTCAGAAAGTGGAAGCAAGTTTGTGGCTTCATGCAAGCCTGCTTCGAGCTCTTTGTCTATAGCCTCTGTGAAAACAATTATTCATTTTTAGATGATCTCTTTGCTTTGTTATGAAAGCAGCTACGAAGTGTATGTTACAGTGTTTTGTTTTGTTTTTAATATATATATTTGTCATTTCAGGACTACTTCAAGTGTCCTTACGAGGAGAAATGTAAGATGGACGTGTCCAATCGGCGCTTCTGCAAGCGCTGCCGGTTACGCAAATGCTTCGAGATAGGCATGCGTAAAGAGTACATCCTCACTGACGAGGAGAAGATGAGGAAAAGACAAAGGATCGAGGAGAACCGGTGAGAAGATGATCTTCCTCACTTTTGTACCGCACTCTTTTTCTTTCTTTGTTTTTCTTCTTCTTTTTTTCTTCTCTTCTTCTACTGCTCTCCTGATTTTCTTTTACCACCAAATTCACGATGGTGTGAGATTTTTCCCTTCCCTTCGCTTTTACATCCTTTTGTTCCGTAATTCCGGGCTTTGTCCTTAATGGGTTTGTCCCGGGGGGGGGGGGGGGGGGGTATTATTATTTTAATTTTTTTTTTTTTTTTAATTTCAGTATATATTTTTTATGATTATCGTTATTGTTATTTGGTCGCTTTTAAGCGCAAGTGGGTATCCCGAAAAATGCTGTTTTGAGAAAATCGAAGGTAAAGTTTTTGGCCCTTGTTCAGTTTCTTTAAAAGACAAGGAGAGTTTTCTTTATAACCAAACAAGTATACAGACCAATGAAACCAAACTTCTCCTATAGGTAGGGCAATGCCCACTTTTTGTGTAGGCCAAGATTTCCGAAAAAAACACGAAATCTGGGTTAGCCCGCTTGTCCTTAAAAGTGACAATTTTTAGTTCCCACTATTTTTTTTTTTTTACTCTCTATTGTTATTATTCTTGCTTTTTTTTATGTCGTCTTGTTGGTTCTATGATTTAACCCGCTCTTGTTCCCCCTTGTTAATAATAATAATAATAATAATAATAATAATAATAATAATGATAATAATAATAATAGTTGTAATAGTTGTAATAATAATAATAATATATTGTAATAATTTTTATAATAATAGTTGTAATAATAATAATAATAACAATAATAATAATAATAATAATAATAATAACAATAACAATAATAATAATAATAATAATAATTTTTAAAAAAATAATGCAGATCACTTCTATGGCACCCACACTTACCCATGGATTTATTTGTACATATATTTAAATATTTAGGGGTACTTTTTAGAATTTTTATAAATTGTTTATTTGTTTTATTTAATTTTTTAAAAATTTATTTTTTTATTTATCTATTTATTTATTTATTCATTTATTTATATTCTGTTCATTGTTTCGAGTAATTGATAGGCGCTCCTCTGAGACTCAATAGAAATTAGAATCCAGTTTGTCAGGTTTTTACAAGTAATATTGCTGTCTAGTAGCGGGCAGGACCAGAACGTCAGCTGCAGTGTGAAATACCAGATCCATATTTTTTTTTCATTTTCTAGCTTTTCCTCAATTTTATTTTTAATTCCATCTGCGCGTCTTCTATTATTGCTTTTATTTTTATCTACCTGTCTATATTTTTTCCTTTATTATCTGTTATTTGCTACTGGTCTTAATCTTTTACCTGGTCGTTTGTCAGTTTATTATTAATTTTTTTTATTAATGTGGGTATTGGCGACAATAGTTTATAATCGTATGGTTGATTTATTCATTTTGCCACGGTCCGTTAATTTTTATTTTTTAGACGTTTTTAGTACATGTATTCGAGTGGCTTTTGATTGAACTGAGGAGGATCCTAGGAATGGATGGTGGATTTTGTGTGCAGGATTTTTATTAGATTTATTTTTCTTTTTGCCCTCACAATACATAAGCAGTGAATGTTGTTTTGATGAATGCGTCCTTAGCAAGTTCTCCTTGTGTTATTTTGAATTTTTACTTTTGTTATCCCCACCATAGAACCTACAAACTGCCCATTTACTTATTGGCTATTTTTGTTAATGTTTTATTTGTTATTGTTGTTTTTTCTTTCTTTTTTTAAAATCCCTTTTCTTCCCTTTTCCTACCCCGTAACTTTGGTGTTGCATTTTGCTGTTCAGCATAAGCCTCTGAAGTGTCTGTCTCTGTTAAGATTTCTCGAAGTCTCTTTTTTAAGTTCTCAAATTAAACCTTTTTTTTTTTTTACTTCTTAAAAACAATATGAGCCCAATGAAACTTTATCACCCCCATGTTCAGATCTTTCTCGATACATAAATATACGAGTGCATATTTTGAGTAAAAAGACAAACTGAAAGATTAAAACTGGGGCTTTATAAAGACCTCGAGATGTGCCCTGGGGTCAGTATATGTGTTAGAAATACTGTTTGTCGAGCGTATGGGTATTATATGTTTCTGTTTATCATGTATATGTCAGGCAGTGTTTTTGTTTGTGCGTCTCCAAATTCAGAAAAGTAATGATGTATGTTTCTTTTCTCCCTTTCTCAGTCAAAGATCTTCAGGAACGCAGCCGCCTTCCTGGTGAGAAACTAATTAGATATTATTTAAACGCTATTTAGTTTCTGGCGAGTCACTTGCCTCATTGTATGTTTTGAACCATGCACTGGACACCTTTATTTCTCAGATTAACCATCGAAAAATGAAGGTGAAAAACAGTGCATTTGACGTTAAGCTGTTTTTTAGCACCATGCTTTTTGTTATCCATTGTTTAAAAATGAAAGTGAAAAGGGAGAAGAGAAATTCCAAGTCTCCAGTCTCAAGATTGTTGGCTTTGTTTTGGTGTAGTGCCTGCTTCGGATAGCAAGTTTTGCTTGCTGTGGAAATGTTGGCAATGCCCGCCCCAATGTGTTCAGTCTTTACTCTGTGATGAATTAACTCATGGCCTCTTTTTATCTTTTGTATTTATATTTGTAGCAGAGGTGAAGGTATAAACTGCACATTCAAAGTATCTGACTGTACTGCAGATGCTTCCATGGCATAATATGGCTAGAGCTTTTCATAAAGGGACATTTCCTAGACTGGGTTTCTTTGTGAAATGCATGCTATCATTGAGCGGATGTTTCCACACGTTTGAATTGGACAACCCTTGTGAAGTAAAATTCATCGATTTTGCGTAAGTGTGCTATTGAATATTTGGTAGAGATGAGACTGTGGCATTTCAGTTTCAGACCATGGAGTTTTTCATTGATTGTCTGGCTTCGTGCAGAAGTCGATAGCCAGCAGATGGGAGACGATTCGGAGATTGTGACTACCACGAGACAGGTCACATCTCATGTTCGCTAAGGTTAAACTGTTATGGTGCGGTGCCGAGATGAACCAACAATTGGATTTTATTGTGCAATGCAATCCAGTGTTTAGCCATAGATAAAGGAAGTGGTAGTTCACACCCCTTTTCTTTTTGATTTTTTCCCTTCGTGGTAGCAGTCAGACCTTAGTGGCACTTGTCAGGATAGCAACTTCTTGAAAAGTTTGCCAGACGTTGAAGTGTTCTGTTGTCTCACCCCAATGTTTTGACATTGTCGTGGTTTGTCCTGGAATATTCTTGGATTGGTTTTTTTCCAGTACTTATTTTACTTTTCTCGTAGAGGGGAGGGGAAGAGCCTAAAGTGATTGATTGTTGTTATGCACATTTGATCATAATAATTTATGAAAATCTTTTGCCACCCTTTCACCCCTGGTTAAAAAAAATAACGATGAAGAAAATGCATGTAATAAGGGAATGATTTTCATGAAATCATAGGTCAGAAACAAAATGTTCTATCTGCTCTTTCAAAGTCAGAAGAATATTCGGAGCCGTTATCAAGATTTTCAAAAAATTGCATTCGAAAAAGCTTGACATGTTAAGAAACTCAAAATATTTTAAGTCAAATTTCTCAAAACTAGATACTGAGCAGGTAGAACTTTGTAATTTTAAGGTAGTGATTTGTTCTTGCTGTTTTCTGTGTGGCATAAACACGCGTAACGAATGTATGTTTTTTTTCCACGCAGCAAATTCCGCGAGATCGACAGAAGCAAAATGCAGAGCATGGACATCTCGTCGTCCGCGGCCCCGCGCCTGCGCACCCTGGAGGCAGAGGAGGAGCTGGCCATAGACGAGATCGTGCGTGCTTACCACCAGAGCCTGGAGATCTGCGTGGAGTCTGAGGTGTCTCGCAACCGGCCCTCCATGACGGAGCTGGTGAACATCGCGGAGATCAGCGTGCGCCGCGTCATTGACATGTCCAAGAAGATCAAGTCGTTCAAGGCGCTCTCACAGATGGACCAGATCTCCTTACTGAAAGGTGGCAGCATCGAGCTCCTCATCATCCGCTCGGTCATCACGTTCGACCGGGACAAGATGCAGTTCCTGGACCCTTACGACAAGGAGAAGTACGCCATGACCACAGATCAGCTCAAGATGGGCCAGGGCTCGGGGTTGTTCGAGGAACACATGCGCTTCGTGAAGAGCCTGGCTGTGGACCTGCAGGCGGACGACACGGTGCTCATCCTGCTGCTCATGATCGCGCTCTACTCGCCGGACCGGCCGCAGGTTACAGACAAGCACTACGTGGCCGAGGAGCAGGAGCGCTACGCCCTCCTCCTCTTGCGGTACCTCGAGTCGAAGCACCCGCCGCACGTGATCCGCTGGATGTACCCCAAGCTGCTCATGAAGCTGACGGACATCCGGAACCTGAACGAGGAGCACTCGCAGGTCCTGCTCAAGATCAACCCGGACGGCATCCAGCCGCTGATGAAAGAGGTGCTGGACCTGAACGCCGAGCGCAACAAGCTGGCCAAGAGCGAGAACGATCACAACTCGCGGATGGAGCAGACGCAGCAGCAGGATAGCCCCGTGGGCTCCCCGTCTCCCCAGCCAGCGGCGGCGGCGGCAGCCAGTTCGGGGGGAGAGCAGGCTGAGTGTATGACCATCTGCTAACCCCGGCCCACACTCCTAGTCCCGACACCTCACTCAACCCCGCGTCTCAAAAGAAAAAAAAAACTTTTAAGAGAAAAAAAGCCCAACAACCCTATTAGCAGTTGTAACGTGTACACAACTATGTACATAAAGAAGTTTTGATTTTTTTTTTAAACTCAGAACCGTGGCCTGATTCGATAGAAGTGACGGGCTGTATACATAACCTGCACCAAAAGTTGGTACTTGTACTTCAACAATCATTAGTACCGGCACCATTCTGATCGTCCTAGTGGCCGCTCTCTGTACAACAACGTTGTCTCTCTTGGTGGGAGGCATCAGCTGCTGGGCCCCCGTGGGAGGCCTTTGTTATTTTCACCTGTTGGCTGAACCATATCACCGTCCCCCGCACACAGGTTTATTCAGGGAGGGCGGCCTTCACACCCGCGCACGGAGACGAATTGTTATGGTCGTGTACAGCAAGAACCTGATCCCGCGTCTCTGTATGTCGTGACGGCCTTGACCCCGTGCTGACCTCACGTTGATCCAGGGCAGCAAAGGTCAGGGTCGGCCACATCTTGCCATGGGGACCCGCACTTCCAGCTGATTCAGTATTGAACGCTTTTCTATGTTAACACAAAGAAGAAAACTGTATTAGTAGATTGAGGAAAAAAACCAGAACGAGGGTTGATCTTTTAGACCGAGAACTGACTCCACTCTAGCGCTGAAGATGGTCGGCGCCCTCGAGCTGCCGGTCATTGTGAGCACAGCGTTGTGTTTGGCGTGGTGGTCACGTGGTGAAGTCTAGCAATGTCGGGACACAAACAAGGCCCCTGTTTCGGACGGATTGCGCTGATCTGCATTCTACAGGTTGCCACCACGTTCGTCCAGTCTGCGATGGAGTCGCTTGTTCCAGACGACACGAGGTTTTTCTGGACATGACGTCAGCAGGCCAACAGGACTCACTGCCTAGTCTCAGAGCGTTTGTGTGTCGTCTGCCTTATTTGCATGAACGCATATATATGCTCTCCCCTCTCTCTCACTCTCCCCGCATCTGGGTGAACTCGAGCGCGGCAGCAGATGCGCGCAATGTAAGACAACTGGCCTCATTTTACCCTGTGGGGACAACCAGTTCCCCGTGAAGACCCCCCACGGGCAAGTGTTGCCAACCCCCACCCCCATCCCCCTCCTCAGTGACCGGACATTTTTGTCTGTTAGATCTCTGGCATCTCTCGCGAACAGCGCGCGACTGCAACCTCCCCGACGCGACCAGCTTGCAATGATATGTACCCCTCTAATGCGACCGTCCCTCGTCTAAGCCTTGTCTTGGGCAGGCACTCTCGAGTCTAGCTCCAGGCCACAAGAAGGCCCATGCTCACGCACATTCATCCCGGTATTTTTGTAACGTTCTATTTCAACTAGGTTCCAAAACCTGTCTCTTTTGGCAGTAACTAAGTACCGCTTGGAGACAAATCTCGACCTTCAGCGCAAATTGCCCCCCCCCCCCCCAAGCGAGTCAGGTGAGCAATCGCTATTTACTGTTGTTTGGGGGAAAAGGGAAACACTAGTTGTACCCCCCTGTCGCTGTCTGATATCTTCACAGCTCCGGTGACTTGACGCTCCCGGCATTGCCTTTTTACTGCACAATGGTTTACTTTTCCCCTTTGTCATTTTTTATCCGTTGCTACTGCTGTATGCTCTTTTAATTTTAATGTGCGTCCAAAACTGGCAAGATTATTTAGTATTGCGCAGATCTGTTAACTCAGTAATCAGTAACTTTTACCTACAAACTAAAAAAAAAAAAACGTTTAAAAAAAGGAAGGGGAAAAGGGATCGGGAGGGGAGTGATCGCCCTGTCAGCGTACCATAAATTGAATCTTCAGAACTAGACCGCTCTAGAAGTCCCATTATGCGTGTCCAAGCGATGTCTTTTGACGAAGTGGACAGTCGAACCATGTCATCCTACCTCCCCCCCGACCCCAATCAACTAATTGTCAGTATGAACTCCGTGTAGAGCACCACTATGGGGTTCAAATCGTAGCATTTGACCAGGACGAAATCGCATCTCGTTCAGGTGAACACAGGTCTGAGTCCGCGTGGACACTGGCAATGGTCATGGCTGGTCGCGCCGGGGGGCACCGGTCGTCTCATCCCCACTCACGGGAGATGCTCTCACATTGTATTTTTCTCATAACTTCCATTTTGCCGTCAACCCAGTCAAATAGCACCATCGATTGTCGTCTCTGATGTTGTTCTTTCTCTCGTTTCATTGTTCCTTTCAATGTTTCTAAAAAAAAAAACTGTTTGTTTTTTAAATTAATTATTATTAAACTTCTTTACGTATGAAAGAGAGAGCGTGTATTTATGGGACTGCTCACTCTCTATACTTTACATATACAAGGAAACAACAACTACAACAACGAAACGAATAACAGCAACAACTCCTCCTCATACGACATATTATTACATTCTTACTACCACAAGGACAGAAACATTGCCAGGAACAGCTTATAAAACCCAGACAATATTACAACCAAAATTACAGCACCACCAACAGCAACACCATATCAAACCATAAATAGTTGTGTCTACCATCGGCGTTTTTTGCATTGGATTCTGTTTCTCCTTTTTGACTTGTTGACGACCGCAGCTCGTGCCTCACGCTATACACGTCAGAGTGTCTTCAACTTGTGGCTCTTTTAGCTCTTTACTTTGTTCTGCTTTGTTGCTCGTTTACTTTTGACTGTTGGACTTGATTTCAAACCGTTTCGCTCCTTTACTTTTTCCATTCTCTATTACTATTATAATCATGTATTGGATAACTGCGAGTGGCAGGTAGCCTAGGTGTGAAGCACCGACCAGATCTAATGAAACGTTTCTGGATTCTGGTATATATTTATCCGCTCGTGAGGAGTCGTACCTACTTAGCTGACGTATGAATCTGTTTTGGAATGTTTGTATACGTTTATTAATATCATCGTTTCTTATCTCCCTCGCGGGTATTAACGTTTGGTGTAATATTTACTTATCCACTAGGCAGCTGCTTTAAAGGCCGTTTATGAAGATGACGTTTTCAATCCGGCTTTAGACCCGGCTATGTTTTAAGCTGACTGGGTGTACTAAAATTGACGACCCTTTCTCATCACTATGGACTCGTGCTTAGTTTGTAGCCTACTAACGAGGAAACAGTGCGTAATATACATTTGCCGCTCTCTGCTCTCTAACAACTGTTGAACAGTTTCCAGTAGTGTTAAAAAGTGCCTCTTTCTGTATGTTTGGAAGTCGAAGACGTCAAGTTTTGCGTCCACTTTTGAGAATAGGATTGAGTCGTCCTTTTATAGAATGGCTCTATACACTATACCAACTTAATTAACAGAGGACACATGTTTAATTTGTGTGCTGTGAATTAGATCTAGCACTCCTGTCCATGGTGTGCTTTGTTCTCGTTGATCCGGACTGTTTGCAGGAGGATAGGACATACTAGAAGATAGATGTAGCAATTCTGAGTTGTGGGTAACGCTCCAACGTCACACAGCCTTTTTACCGGCCACGCCGAGGGGCCTGTGTCCTCACGCCGTCAGACGGCTTGGTCAGGAGATGTAGTCGATCGTATACTCAGGCCTTTTCTCTCTCCATCTGTACATGTTGTTGTCTTTACCGAATGTCTTTTCCCAAGTTTGCCATCTGTGTACAGGATATTATTGCACGTGTTATGACCCAGTGCGGCCGGGCCGACGAGTCGTGCTCTGGTCCTGTCGTTTTATTTGTGATAGAGCTGTGAGTTTATTTGTCTGTAAACCGATTTGCTTGCTCGGGGACGCCTGTTTGGTTTGGGATGTACGTGTGAACGAGCGCAGTGAGAATTCATTGCCAGTGTTAATTACTCCTTAATCAAAGAAAGATCAGTAGACCGCACGTACTTATACGATGAATGTCTCCCACCCCCACTCCACCCCCCATCCCTACCCTCGAAGCTCGTTTCTCGTTGTGCACACTTTTCGGACTGGCTTCTCGTTGCACATTGATTGGATGAACATTTATTATACATATTCATCTGCTCTTTCCCCCATGAACGTGTGAAGAATTTATGTCTGCTAAAGACCTGATTGGTGGCTGGCGTGGTTGGGTTTTGTCCCTCTTTCTTGTTTTCCCCCCTTCTTGAATGTGTTTTTGGTGCAAAAATAAAATCAACGATTCGGTATTTTTAGATTTTGCAAAAATTTTTGCACACTTATTCATAGTTTTGGTCGTTGTCTTAACTGTTGTCAGATGGAACGGGATTTCCCTTCAGACAGAAGCGGTTCGAGTTCTTAATTATTTCTTTACCAGATCTTCCCTGTGGGAACTTTGTTCATGTTCACCAAATTGAGTGTTATGTAGTATACTTGATCTCTTCTATGAACTGATTGCATGGCAGGTTGGCTCTCGTATATGCCCAGCTACTTGTTTTTAAATGGCACTTTATTTTTGGTTGCTTGTCCTGTAAATTTTTTCCCTTTAGATTGTAGAAAGGCCACCAGCCCAGATCTCCCCCCCACCTCTCTCTCTCTCT